TATTGACAAACATCAGGTTTAACTTTGTTCTAGTTAAATCTATACAATTTAATTAAAATTTGTATTAGTATGAGGAGATTTGTGAAGTTTTTAGAATTTTTAGAGTTTAAATCATGAATTGATCTTAGCTACAGTAATAATAAAAAAGTGAATAAAAGTGGATGACTGTTGTATCCGAATACGGCAACTTTCAGTGGTTGGCTACTCCTAGAATTTTTGTAAGAATATACGACTCGTGAAATTCAATCATGTCATGAGTGAGACAGTTCTCCAGTGTAAACAATATCATGAATTAACTGAAGTTAGACATTGTCATCGCTGATCACCGGCTAAGTGGTTTCGATATTGAGTGTCCGCCCGCGAGAATAAACGCCCTAGGTTCGATTTCTGTATACGAGATCGTAAATATTCACTGATGTATAGTATCATATTTGCATGAAGCAGGTACCCAGTGTTTCAAGGTTTCTAATGGTGGTTTAACTAAGTTCAATTTGTGATTTAACCTATAATACAGTATTAATAAAAATGTCAGCGTATTTAACCATATTCCGAATTCAAATATTTCAGTTAACTAGGGTTGCACATTTGAATCATTTCTTGAAAATTTATCATCTAAATATTCACTGACTACTAAGCAACGTGTTTAGAAGCATGGATGAAAGAATGCACTTGGTTTCTTTGTTATAACGCAATATAAAGAGCACATGTAGTTCTATTAAGTTGATGAGCTACTTTTTAAAAGTTCCACATAATTTCATAGATATAATAATGAATTATTTACGTAATTTACAATATTTTATCATTATTCCTTACAGCTTGACAATGTACAGTTAAATTTCTTTGTATGATGTCATGTAAGGTGGTGTCTAGTGTATCTTGTTTGAATGTGAAGAGATTTGAGATCACCGTTATTTATGAAGCATTTTTTGTATTATATCAGAGCTACTGAACATAATGTACCTAACTTTGCTGAGTAATGTTTAGTAGTAAGTTTAAATTAACTGGTCTAATCAGGTTAATTATGACGGCAATCATTCTATTTTCAATGCTTAATAAAAGTGCAATATCTTGGAGGGTCGTGGATGCGTACTACTGTGCTGGGAAGAAGCTACTGTCCAGTGTTTCCAGGTTTTTAATGATGGTCTAACATTGATCCATTCATAATATCAATCCAAAGCAAAATTGTACGACTATGTCATTTGAATAAACCTATTTTTCTCTCAGTTTTGTTCTACTTTCTCTAATGCAATCGGTATGACAATATGAGTTTCTCAATTTTCCATTTGGTAATTCTTTTTTTAACATAATAAAATATGAATGTAAATAACTTCAGTGAGAAAAGTTATGTTATTAGATTAATTTTTACTTCAGTGCATTTTTACACAATTAAATTTATGAAAAGCTATTAAAGTCTATTTATTCTGCTTAATTAGAAAAAAGCATCATTGATAAATGCAAAAAACCAATCTCTTGTCTTAGCTATATCGAATAAGTGGAATAGTGCTTGTGAGATATACACAGCAACAAACTAGAGGAAAAGACATTAGAGGTGGGTTGGACGCATATTGCAGAAAGCATCAAACTGTATCTCAAAGTAAGCAAGAACTTGGAATTCTCAATTCAAAAGGAAATGAGAAAGAACCAAAGAACGCAACGCCTCAAGAATTTGAAGCAGACATCAAAATAATGAATAATACTTGGAAAGAACTGGAAAGGAAAGCTCAAGACAGAGTAGATTGGGAATTCCTGTTCAGTGACCTATGCTCTATTAAGATTAACAAGCCTAAGTAAATAAGCGAGAAAGTAAGCAAGCCAATGGGTCATTGATACATGATTGCTTTTGTTTTGGACCAGGTAAAATGACACACAAAAACATTCACACGTAGATAGATATGTGGTATATGCTACTTATGCAGACAGATATAAGTAGTACGTAGCTACAATTTGGAAGTGGAATGTCTGGAAGTAGAAGATTGAAATGTAGAAAAAAGAGAAGGAAGCAGAGAGGAATTGGAATAACACCTAGATCGTTAGAATTAAGGAGTATGTACAAGACAACCGAAGGAAGATGTGTAAATAATATATCTAATCTATAATTTTCTTATTTTAGTAAGTCACTATTTAGTTATGCATTAAAAAGTAAATTGAAATTCCACACCTGAGTTCTCGTTCACTACATATGTATGTGAATAATACTTATCCCAATGAAACCAAAACTCTCAACAGTCCATCTTTTACAGATTATTGTAATTTTATATAAATGCTAATCATATTCTTACAATTATAGACAGATAATTATGACATTTCCCAACTAGTTAATTATACTAAACAAAAGTAATTGAAATGTGTTGAGGGAGCATCCATAATAAAACGCTAAAATTAATGAGCAAACGTCTCACAATCAACATATACAAAATGATAGAGAATATAACAAAACAAATGAATATGATTGAATTTTATGGTTAATTTTCTCAAGAGATTAAGACTGCCAGTCATAGAATATTTTAATAGAAATTCTAGATTTTAGTATAATGTCAATGATTTGTAGTGACAGAGAAAGAGGGAGAGAGAAGAAAGGCAAGTGAAAAAAGAGTAATGACGATGAATTGAACAATACTAGTTAAAATAAATGACATGTATATGAAGAAAAATAGGTTGGTTAATAATCGGACAGAGAGTTTTCTAACCAGACAAACAAGAGTGATTTACTAATTTACTTATAAATTATACGATTATTCTCAGTACAAAGAATTTTGGGAATTACTGAATGTTATTGATAGTGTAAACCTATCCAAGTTTGAAATCCATTAATAACTAAAAATTCATGCAAAATTGTTTCGTCCTATTATTGGGCTCAGCAGCTGGTATCAACGGCACTTAAGGGGGTCGGGCTCAAGACCTAGATGTCTTTCATTGAGCACCCAAATGTTTGACCATTGAGCCAGAATTCGACTGTGCATGCTTAACTTCAATCAACCAGTTTCACACCAAAGAAAATGAAAGGTGACTGTGCAATATCGTTAACTGGTTGAAGTTAGACATTTGCACCGTTGGATCCAGGTCAATGAACTAAAGGCTGCGCCTTCACTCGCAAGACTGGAGGCTTTGGGTTTGATACCCTTTAATGAGGTTGTGGATGCATAGTGTTGAGATGTTTTGTATTAGAAAGCAATAGCATTCCATTGCCTTCTGAATTTAAGAGGATTTCTAACTTAGGTTAGTTCGTATTACCTGTAATAAGTGATTGTTATTTGTTTAAAATTTACCTATTTCTCAGACGAAATTTTTAATATATAACATACTATTATTCATTCGTGAAGGTTTATATTTCTCTGTTGTTGCCTTTTAATTTCTTTTGGCCTATTTGTATATTGAACGGATTGACTCAATATTACTACTTAGTTACAAGCATTTAGCAATGTTAGATACAGCTAGTATTTACTATCCATTTTTCTGGAATAATACTATTCAGTTATTGGTGTTAACCAAAAGTTACTTATTTTGTTATATGTTTTACGTTTGTTAGTCTAATTCACAATAAATAATTAGTAAAGAATGTTTATTGCAGAGTTATATTGCGTTAATAGAAAATTTCCTTATAGGTGGACATTTACTAGATTATTGGAAGACAGAAAGCTTAAAATCTATCATTTAGAATGTCTTAAAAATTGATATTCATTTATTTGTAATCTAGTTCAGTTTTTTTCTCCTAGTAAAAGGAGTTTGTTAAGGATGTTTAGTATTTTAGTTTATGTCATGACGCGATTTTAGAGAATCGCTGTAAACCAGAAAGCATTGGGCAGCTGTTGCTTTCTAGTACAGAACTCCTCACCTATGTGGATACACATCTCTACCACATATTTCAGGCCTGATAGCTGTTGTGTAACGTTTAGACTGCTGAAACGGCATCCATTAATCGTTGGTGATTAGCCTTGATTGGTGACTCAGACATTACTAGTGACAAGCTATAATCGTTGGATTTCAGTCATATCGGGTTTGAGTTAATTGCTCACCAATGGTGTTAAAATATGGTTAAAAATATTGTAAATTGAAAACAGAAACCTAAACCATTAGATGGCAACTTGGTGATTCAAATATTAAACGCTTTCTATGAGACTTGAAGATTCTGTTTTAGATCTCCAATGGAATCGTACATGTACACCAAACTCGAAAGAAACAGTTGTTGAGTTTTTCATTATTTGTTAGATGGTATTTAACAGGAAAATTTAGATTTAGGTTTCATGTTATTTGGCACTCATTAGCAAGGTATATTTGTAATCTTGGCTGAACCAATGCTTTCTAAATTATATGATCCTGTGTCGAATAGCTCCTAAGTTAAAGAAATGACCACTGTGCTATCTGAGTTGTGACTAACCTTGCTGTTTCCAGTGGTTGTGTGACTAATGTCAGTCAATGATGTAAACCATAGAATTGAAATATACATTCCTAGAGGTCAAACTTTAGTTAAGTCATCCACTATTTCACAAATTGAAATTGTACAAATAAATAAACAGACATTTTTCGGTTTTGTAGTTCAGTACACATCAATCTTGCAATTAATAGCAACGTTACTAACATTATTAACAAATATGTTTTATTTTCTCCAGTTAACATTTACATTATTGTTCAAAATCTAGTAGTTGATATTAGCAGAATATTTTACTCAACAGTAAGAAACAACTTATTTTCAATTATAATGAGAGAGAGGTTTTGTGGATATTATAGTGATTTCATAGTTGAATTCATGAGTCAAATGAAGCTAGACCACCATGGAAAACCTGGAAACACTAGATGGCCGTTTCGTTCTAGTATGAAACTCCTCAGCAGTGCGCCCCCACGATCCCATCGCGCGAGATCCAATTGACTCATAAATTCAACTATTAAATTATTTTCAATTGTTTAGTATTCAACAAGATTACTCATTGAAGATAATTATTTGCACATACACAAGAAAAAACAATCAACTGTTAACAACTAGAAAATGATGTCGTTAATCTTACCTCTCGATCTTCACGGTCACATTCAAATCTAAAATAGAAAAAAAACGAGATAAATGATGAAGAAATGTATTGAATGAAATGAACTTTCCAATTTATTATCTACAGGAGATAAGCCGGAGATGGTATATCTCAATAATTATGTCTTTGATTATCTCACCAGGTGTTTTAAGTCCTTGTTTGTAGATACACCTAAGTGATAAATACCAACTAAAATACATTGAATGTTCAAAGCTTCTTACAGTTTAATATCAAATAACCAAGTGAATAGTTGTTTTCTTTTGCCATACAAAAGATTATTGTTTATTACTTCATAAAATATTGAATATTTTATTTTGATAGTTACAACTAGAATAATACTATTGTACATTCCATGTATAGTATTTCCAAGTATCGTTTACATTACTAATAAAATCATTTAAGGCAGCTTTAATTTATGTCCAAAGATGTATATCTTCAATTTATTCCCAACATGTTTTGTGATAATTGTTATGACTTAGTTTTCAGATTAGTTAGTTATATGTTAATCAATTCTTTCTCACAATTTACAATAATCTAGTTAGAATCAAATGGTGGGTGACCTGCGCTCTTCCACGAGGAGCAACAGGCGTAAGTAAGTAAGTAAGTTTGAGTGAAATGCACTGAAGTAATAGAAGCTGTAAATTCCAAATAATCCAACTATCTGTAATATGATCAAGAAAAACTATTAAATTGTTTAAAGTCAGAAAAATTTGTGTTTCCAAAATAAAAAGAGATAATGAATAAAAAGTACTGGTTATAATTTTTGAGAAAAAATAACAAGAGGAATTAAGTTCGTTTATATACTATTGGATAAATAAATTATTAGTTCTAATTCCAATTTAGTCATTATTTTTTTTAACCATAAGCTAATAGATCAAGGTTGAAGAAATACAGAAAACTAAAAAGTACTGGACGATTGTTCCATTCAGGTATAGGACTTCTCAGCATTGTTGACCCACAATTCCGCACTTAAAAATCAGACCCAGGTAGTTTGATCTTGCTTAATGTAACTTAATATCCAGAACAGTGATTCGTGATCAAATGAGGTACAAATCTAGCTTTAATCTGTTTAAGATAGTGAGTGATCATCTTCCATTGTTTACAGTGAGTACCTTCCTCGCACTCGACATGGTTGAAATCCTTTGGTCACAGTTCCTCACTTGGAATCCGAAAATTTCCTCTCGAAGTCAACCACTAGTGAGCTCATAACAATTAACAGTATGGTTTAAAGGTTAAGCGTTCGCGAGCGGGATGGAACTTCTTGGGTTTAATTTCCGCTTGCGAGATTTTGGATACATACTATTCAGGGACGAAATGGTCATAAAATGCTTTCGTATTTTCAATGGTTATCCAAATTTGATCGGCTTGTGATTTTATTGAAATTCAACAATCTCCACAATCAAAAACTGACAATAAGCTGATAATTTACTCTTACGTGGTTTTTATCTATTAACAAAATGAAAGTGTTATGGTATTGGTCATAGTTACCAAAATGTATCAATATGAGATTTGCTTTGATATTATTACTGACAATGACAAAGTAATGTGGAACTCTATAGTTTATTAATGTCATAGTCCATTTTTGTTCATTGTCAATTTGAATTTTAAAATAGGTGTATTATTTTACAGAGGACAGTTTTCATGTTTATAAATGGGGATAATTACGGTGAGACTATAATTTACGGACGACCTTTAAGCAATTCTGCATTGACCTTGAGAATTTCACCTACTTAAGAGAGTTAAATAAGGGCTACAAATCAGTGTAAGAAATCATAATTAGGATTTACAGTTGGACATTAAGGTTATGAGTTAGATTTAGGGTTTTTATCACGAACTGACATCAGCTATAATACCAAAATACTACTTATCCATGTGGATGAATGAATTTTACGCCCAAATTCAAGATCAGTTATCTTAAATCCGATTGAATCGGGCATAAATTATAGTTTTGCCATCATTGCCAATACATGCTATTCATTTTGATTTTTAGTAATATCACAGAGAAGAATCCAGCCAATAAACACTTAAAACTTTTATTTCAAGTTTAGGGTTTATAAGGGACATTTATTTAGAAAGCAAACCTAGAATGCAACAATAATTGAAACAATTTAGAAAAACTTGCAAATTCTAGTGAATTTAATAATAATGTCGTTGCTTAGGTACTTAGTTTCCAATATAACATAGACTCTTGCTGGAACACTGGTAAACTGATCTCAAAGAAAGTAACTATAGCGCTGTGTAATATGATTCAGTAAGTTGGTTGATATGATGAAGAATATTTTAAGTGATTGGATAGTGATCTCCTCCAATGGCTTATAATGATTAACTGCATTTATGTTCATATTTAAAATATTGCATGTATGTATTTTGTTTTATTGATTAAAAGGCTATACTCGTAACTAGTAGTTTTGTCTTTGATCCGAAATCATTAGCAGGTTTGCGTCAATAGTTCGGTTTTTTGTGAGGAGCCATTCCTAGTCTATTTCATATCAACGTATATCATCTGTTGGTCGATATTCTTTTCTGTTTGTTTTATTAATTGTAAATTAATCCATCAAATTATGAAATCCTATTCAATAACAATATTAGATTTTGGATTCCATGAAGCACCTGTCCCGATATGTTACACCTTTTGTGGGTTCTGTTAATCATATCTTTTATTGATAATAAAGGTAATTTATATATTTTTTTGCTTTTAGAATATTTAATTTTAGCTTTCACATACTTTTTGCTCACAAATAGAAATTACTGAATATGTTTCTAAACACTTTTAAACAGTTTACTACATCTAACCGTTCGATATTATTGCTAGTGAACCAAATCCTGCTACTGCCCACTACGTTACTAGCCGATTAAATCTCAAGAATACATTTTAAATTATAGATGTGAACATTTGAAATCTGTCAATTAATCTATATCATTGAAATATTTCTCTGTATCTTGAAATCTATCTATAAGTTTATAATAGTGTTCACAACATACTTACAGTTACTTGATAAAGTAAATGGTACAAATTTTAATTTTACAAATCAATCAAGTTGAATTTTCTGTATGGATGTAATTTCTCAAAATAATGCATGGTAATAGATTTTATTGTTTTGAATGAATGTAAACAGTCAAGTGTATATTGTAAATCTTTGTTTTTTACTAGTGTACACAAATCAGTATGATAAAAATGATGTACTAGGAAAATCTTTAAAGTTTGCCGTATTCAATAGAGTTGTTATTGTCAAATCTATGAAAGAAACGTTACTGCTGATCATTGACAGCGTCTTTGTTAGTTGTCAATAAACCCTTAGTAATATATATATATATATATATATATATATATATTGACGAAAAATGATTATATACAGTTGATTAATCACTGGGAAGTGATGAAACTCAGTTTTGTGTTTTTTTCATAAGAGCTGATTAAACATTTTCAATGAAGATGTAATCAAACTACTGGTCTAATTTAATTGACATAGTTTTAGAGAGCAGAGATTGCTAACCAGCATGAAACCTATGTCGAACAGGGTTTCCTGTTGGTTATTTCTAATCATCTAACAAACCCGATTATTTGTTTTTTTCCTGTTTAGTACTCGTCAGCTGATTGTTTGTGAGCTACGGTGATGATATCCACATTAGGACTCAAACTCAATGCTTTTTTGATTAAATCTATGTGTTATGTGCATTTTATAAAGTTATCCTGTACAAATTTACTCATTAGGAAAAATGACAATTTATATTACTTTTGAAATTTCTCGCAAAACGTTAAGTCAGTATTTAAATGGTTGACTAGTACAATCGTTTAGCATAAATCAATCTTTGATTTCATTCATAAAATCCAATATTTTTGTTATTTAAGTGATGAAAATAATTTTGTAGATTTCGAACTAATTCTAAGCCTGTCAATATAGACTACTAATGTGAGATATCGTTACATTAAACATAATAAAGTAGTCAAGAATTCTATGTTCATCTCATCTGATTTGAACAACTAGAACGAAAGGAAACATCATCTCACTTATTACAAAAAGTCTCAATAAGCATAGAAACAAAAAAGGAAAACTTTTACAGTTGATTTGAAATTATCATTTTTGAGCTATTCACATTGTAAACAATATAATCAACTGTAGCATGGAATTTTAGTTGAATATTCTTTGTAAGTTGTATATTGTAAATCTTTGTGTTTTACTAGTGTATACAAATCAGTATGATAAAAATGATGTACTGGGAAAACCTTTAAAGGTTACCGTATTCAATAGAGTTATTATTGTCAAATCTATGAAAGAAACGTTACTGCTGATCATTGACAGCGTCTTTGTTAGTTGTCAATAAACCCTTAGTAATATATATATATATATATATATATATATATATATATATATATATATACTTATAGCCTGTCTCTTTAGATAAGTTTATGTGCAAATGTCAACTGAAGTACTACTGACAAGTATGAATACATTTCATACTTAGTCGGTTGCCAATTTCAAACTCCTTCTACTAGTATCTATATGACTTTGCTTACCAAGCACTGAGACTGGAAATATAATTTCATGTCAATGATTTGACGTCTAATAATCTCGTTTTTTTAAATAACTCATATTGCATTGAGATGCTCATCAAGCGTTTACTGAATATTTTTAAACACATACAGTGAGTAGATGCTTAGTAATAACAAGTTATATGGTCCTCTGCAATGAAGCAATTAATAAATGAATTGTACATATATTAAGTTAATTTGTATGTTATTAGGATGTTTTTATACATAAACAAATAAGAATCTCTATTGATTAAATGTATTCTCATACACAAACTTATGATCATCTATGGCAAGAAATTGATATGAAATTCAATGATGAAAAGTAAAAAAAAATGAATTATAGTTAGCAGTGATTTCTAGGAAGTACATTTCATCCTATCATGAAAATTATCAGCCAAATATACTTTCATTCAACTATTAATACTTTCATTTGAACCTGTAACCAGAACCTTTTCACTTCAAACACCCAACTCTTTTTATTCACTTAGTCACTAAGTTCAATAATTACTCACATGTTATAAGAATTTGAGCTATAGTTTTATTGTTTCAATTACTAACTCACTAAAATTCAATCAAGAATATCAATATTATGCAATAACTCAAACCATAACAAATGAAAATTTACAAAAAACTATAGCCTGTAATTATTATTTAGAAAGGAAAATATTCAATAAACTAAACTTACATTTCTGTTGTTATAATTTGTTTCTCTTCAAAACAATATTCCAAATTAAGACGTGTAGTATAATTTGGTGAAAGATTGTTATAAACAAGTTCAGTTTCAGTTACCTGAAAATGCAAAAAAAATTAGATGTTTAAAATTAAAGAAAAATGTTAATTGGTTGAGGTTAAACATTGGCACCATTTGGATGCCGGCTCAGTGATCTAGAGCTTAAGCGTTTATGCGTAAGACCGATAGGTCCTGGGTTCGAATCCTGCGGCGCGGTATCGTGGATGCGTACTGCTGAGGAGTCCCACAACAGGATGAAACGTCCGTTCAGTGCTTCCAGGTTTTCAATGGTGGTCTCACATCAATCGGTTCATGATATCGATCAAAAATCAGTTTCATTTTTTATTATTCACATAAAATTAAGAAAACATTTCCCATAATTAAAATCAAAATCATCAAAGAAATATATAACATTTTAACAATCAAATCAGATCAAATCTATACTGTGTTAATCTAATCATATATGGATGTTAGTTTTAGTAAATAGGATTATTTCAAATATCATTTTCACATATAATGACTTCTCTATGTTTGGTGCCCAATTTTTGTCAAACTATTCGTTCTAATCTTAAAGTAGATTCGTATATATCAGATTTAATATTCATATTAGAATAAATATATACAGAATAATGTCGAGTTATTGAACGGGTTGACTTATAGTAATCTTTGGATTATTAGTTAATAACATTTACAGATCACTGTGCAAAAACGCATGAACTTACAAATAGTTTAAGATAATTTGAGTAGTTTTTAAGCTATCTATCGGCTTAAATGTTAAGGCGTTATAATACCATACATCGTGTTGCTTTAATCCATAACTAGAATAACGTATTCTGATAGTTAAATATATTTAGTGATAGATTATAATCTACTGGAATAGTTTTATAAAACCGTGGGTAGATTGATTACAGAACGTTTTAAACTTTCTGATGAAGTATACTATACCTAATTACGAAATATCAGAAATTTCACTTTCTACTCACCATGATATCACAGATATATCGATATTCACTTAAATATTATTTCATTATCAGTATATTTAATCATACTGTGTCAGATGTTCTTATTTTTCAATGACTTTCAAGAAAAATAATGGTGAATTCAAACACTTATCATTATGGAAGCAAATATTTTCCAGTTGACCATGGAGATTAGTCTGAAATTAATGTCAAGTCATATGATTAAATTCCATTCTCTGTTAGTACGAGGTTTAAGTAAATTAAATTAAACTACAAGACTGGAATATCACATGAATTTGGGCACTACAATTGCGACAATTGATTCTTAAATCAAATTACCATTTAAATTAAATAGTTGACTAGAAGAGTTAGCCATAATGTGCATAATTGCTTAGAATTTTCCTATAAAGGAGATTTTGCGAATATATTTACTATATACACTCTTTGTTCTTTATCCTTTGACTCAATAACTAAAGATCAAAAGGATGTTAAATATGAACTCTGCCTGTAGCTCTTCTAGAGTTACTGCTGGTCCCAAGCCCACACAAAAGAGGAAGGTTGGGCATGCGTCATGGTACCCATACCGTACAAAACAAACTCGCTAAAAAACGTTAACTAGAACTAACAATTTAAACCACTTGAACCCGGCCCTCCAAGTTGAAGGAAAAATTATGACTCCTTAGGATCAAAGCCGACATTCTTCGGAAGTCATAATGTCCATGCTCCTTCTAACAACCAGAGCAACCACTATTATGAGTACATGGAATGTTCGGACAATATGGGAGACCAAGAAAATCAAACAAATAGCCTACGGTGCCCGGAATCAGTGAAAGTCATCAGACTCAAGCTGGACAGCAAGGGCTAGATACAGGAGAGATGCTGATGTACTCCGATCATGAAGAGGAAAATGCTCCGCAAACACAGGCTATTGCTCAGATACTGTCCAGAGAAGCACGTAATGAGCCTAAAGGATGGGAATCTCACAGATACGTAATCAATGGAGCATCCCTCAAAACAAAGAAGAAGGGAGTTACAATGAATGCTATCCAATGTGATGCACCCACAAATGATAGCAATGATGACGATAAAGATCGGTCTTACAAAGAACTGCAATCGATCATAGCGGAGTGCTAAGAAATGACCTGACAATCTTGAATAAAGATCGAAACGCCAAAGTCGGAATGGACGACAACGGTTATGAAAATATCACGGGACGACATTGACTGTGAGAAAGGAATGAGAAAGGTGACAGATTTGCAAATCTATGTACATTCAATAAATTGGTTATAGCTGGCACAGTATTCCCACACACACATACACACACTCATACACGAAGCTATATGGATCTCACCGGACTACACCACGGAGAACCAGATCGATCATATTTGCATCTCTAAGAACCCATGAGGTCGTGAGAGCCAGGATAGAATCTGATAGAGCTTCAGATCACCACCTGTTTGTGGCCAAGATGAAAATAAGGCTGAAGAAGCACTGAATAATTGGGGAAATAGCATTACGAAGGTTAAATGCAGCCTTCCTTCGACATACTGGAAAACTCAAAGAATTCAAGATAACTCTCAACAACAGGTTCCAAGCCTTACAAGGAAGAAAAAACAAACATGAATGACAGTTGGAAAAGACCAAGGAAGCACTGAATTCAACGTGTCAAGAGGTTCTAGGTCACAAGCATCGTCATAAGGAATGTATCTCTATGAGAACTGTGGACGAGATTCAAGAAAGAAAGAGAGAAAGAAAGGGGAAGACATCAATTAACAAAGAAAGTCAAGGCACAAATTGAATACACAGAATCAAACAAGCAAGTGAAAAAGAGCATTGGAGCTGACAAGCGGGAATATGTGGAATACCTAGCAACGACTTCCGAAAAACCTGCAAGAGAAGGAAATATGATACACCTATATGACACGACGAAGAAACTGGCATGGAAATACAGTAAAGCAGTGAGACTGGTCAAGGGCAAAGAAGGAAAGCCAATCAGTGAGATTCAAGAAAAGTGGAACACTTCGAAGAACTCTCGAATAAACCAGCTCCACTGAACTAACCAGACATCGAAGCAGCACACTCAAACCTCCTTATTTCTGTCACTCCACCAACGACCGAAGAAATCAAGATGGTCATCAGACAAACCAGTGATGGGAATGTAGCAGTACCTCAGAATTTGCCCGCTGAAGCCCTGAAGTCAGACATAAAAGCTGGTCATATTCAGGAAGATTTGGGAGAAAGAACGAGTATTGACAGACTGAAAAGAAGGATACCTCATTAAGATATCAAAAAAGGAGACCTAAGAAAATGTGAGAACTACAGATGAATCACATTACCGTAAGTACCAGGAAACGTTTTCAACAAAGTGTTTCTGAACTGGATGAAAGACTCAATAGACCCATTACTTCGAGATCAACAGGCTGGATTCCTCAAGGAAAGATTGTACACAGACCAGATTGCGACACCATAGATCATCGTTGAACAGTCAACTGAGTGGAACTCGCCACCATAAATAAACTTCGCTGATTATGAGAAAGCATGTGACAGTGTGGATAGAAAGATCTTATGTAATCTTCTCCTATACTACTTTGTGAGTAGCTGGGAAATCGTCAACATCATTCGGAATTCATGTGACAGACGACACTGCATGATCTTGCACGAAGGAAAACTGACAGATGCATTTGTAGTGGGGATCGGAGTCATACAAGACTGCCTATTCTCCCGCTTTCTCTTTCGTCTTTTGGTTGACCGGATTATGAAGACCTCAAAGTGGAAGTGAACAAAATACACATTGAGGGAATCATCGAACTGCATCACCATACAAGCGTTAACTTGGAGTTTTGAAGAAAGACGAAAAAAAGAAAGGCCAATGAACACAATATTTCGGGAATTGAAAGCACACATGAAAAGGATGAACAGCAAATAGAAACAACTGAAAATGGTTGCTCATGACAGATTTGGATGTAGAATGCTGGTGGACGGCCTATAGTCTTTATTTTACTTTAAGTATTTTATAGTTTCTTGTGATTTCTAGTGTAACTATACCGTACAATTATTATGCAATCTTGAAATTTTCAAGCAAATAAGGGAAGATAGTTTGTAAATCATAAGAACATTTAGTCAAAAATTAATGAAACATCTAAATATATAATGGTTTGAGAAATTTTATTAGTTTTTCAATGTTTCGCATCATTGATTATTTAAATAATAAGCTTACAGTATCTCAGTTATTTCAGCTCAATTCAATTACATTTTTGAATACATATGTTTATGATTAGAGGTAATCTAATAATAATAATAATAATAGTAACAGTAATAATAATAATAATAATAATAATAATAATTCCTCATGGCTACAAAATTTGTAATAAATAATTCACTAAAGAATTGAGAAAATGAATTCACCGGACAATAATATAGAGAAATTATGTGTAAGCAATCCTACTCTAAAATTCTATTTATTATTTCAATTAAGACTAAATAAATATATCTACATTTGATTATCAATATTGAGTACAACATAGTGAATTAAAATCTGAATAATTTATGTATTATATAATAGTCTATCTTGAGATGGTGGAGAAGATTTGTAGCTCAGGTGGATGATTTTGGTGGAGTTTTGTTCTTTAGGCTAAATAGTTTGGTCGTGGAGCTTTCATCAAAAAAGTCTACTACTTAAATAGTATATATTTAGTATAATTTTCTTAACAAAATCTTATTTTAATATTTGTAACGGTAAAAATATTTTTTGATCAGTTCTAATTATGCATCTTTTGGATTCTGATTCATTCAGTTTTATGGTAATAGTTACATTGATATGCTGAATAAATACTAATGAAACATTACTAAATAGATAGTTAATGAAAGATGTGAACAATTCTAAATAATTAGTATACGGGATTTGTAGAGATAGTTGAACTTTCATTGGTTACGTCATAGATTGATCTTAGTTACGTAACCATGAAAAATTAGGAAGTTTGTGCTGATGATGTTGTTCAGAAGAACGATGAAAGCTCCACTACCAAATAATCCAGGTCAGAGAACAAAACTCCACTAAAATCATCCACTAGAGCTACAAATCTTCTCCACCATCTCAAAATCATAGGAAGTACTAGATAGCTGTTTCGTCTTAGTATAGGACTTCTCAGCAATACACATGCATGACCCTACTACAGGTGATCAAACTTAAGACCTTCACTCTCTCATCCTATCGTATTATCTCTTAATCTTTAGGTCAGGATCTAATGTTGTAAATATCTAATTTTAATCACTTGATGATATGACTGAATTAGAATCCATGGGCTGCAAAGGTTTCATACTATAACTCTTAAGTTTGGATTTGGGAGTTAGTCACTATTTGTTCCTGGTTTTATCGTTCAAACCATCTAGGTCAGAGAACAAAACTCCATCAAAATCATCCATCTGAGCGACAAATCTCCACCATTTACAATATTTATTCATTCATTTTCTTTTTCCTTAGTAAAGTTATTTCGATTATTGAATAGATCTTTAATTCAACACATTTTTTAAATATATTCATCCATATACATTAACAAGCACGTATACAGTTTCATACTCTCCTACGTTTTAATATTTTATATACATGAAAAGTTACATTTATTGAATTATCAATAGTCATATATTGAGTTGTATCGTTGAGATAATTCCATGAATATCTTATCATTTATACAATGAAATAAATGTAAAGATAGTTATAATGTTTAGAGGTGAATGAGTAAATTACATATTCATATAATCCAAGTTTTATATAGGTCATTTACAATGGTATAATTGTAAGGTTTTATGGTTTATTTGATTTATTAAACATTACCAATTGAGTTAAAAATGAGCAGTTGGATTGAATGTTATTATTATAGATGAGTTATGGGTTAATTGTTTTGCGATTATTATTTATCTAATAATAGATTCAAATAGATTATGGTGATTAGTTATTTTCATAGAGAGAGAAAGAGAAAGGTGTTATTATCAACCTGCATTGATATAGATTGATTGCATAGATTTTTGAAATTTCGATAATATGGTTTAGCAGTGTCCAAAATGAAACAACTGCTCGTTAACGATACTGAAACATGATGTGGCTAGAAGTTTCAATGAAGGTCACCCAATTTTAAATTGGTAATCAAATAATACCATACTTGATATGAGAGTTGGCTGGTTTTTCTTTGATCCTGTGTAGGATTATAGATGAATGGTGTTGAAAAATATTGAAGTACGACAGTTTTATATATGTTATATTATTCTTCACCATGCTTAGCATTGATGACCTAAAAGTACTTACATCACATTAACATTATCCTAGGCACTGAATGAACAGTCACTCTAATATCAAGATCATTGTCAATATTTATCGATAAACCATGGATTGTGGTATTTTTTCATTATGACAGTTTTTTCAGTGTTATTTGGTTTAAACTAGTCCTAATATGGAATTTAAACATACCACATTTTCTTATAATTAAATCATAAAAAGGTTTTATAAGTTAAGTCTTTACGGTTTCACACTTTGAACATAAATCTCCACATAGATCATCTTAAATAACAATTTAAAATCAGTAAAACCATTGAATATACAGAATTAAATTACAGTGAACCATTAATCACTTGAACGAAACGGTTGAATGAGAAAATATAAAATTATTTTACATACTATTACATTTTTTTTCTTTAAGAAGTTGTTTAAACTTGTACATACAATTGAAATATGAATAATGTAAGCTAAGTAGGTTAGTCGGATTGATGTTGAGTATAAAATCTTTGAGGATCAATGAAGTGTAAGAAGAGACAGATTTCACTTTAGAGCTACTGTCATATAAGTTGTTTGATTGAAATAGGACTATTCACTACTTTTATGTAATCAGATGCCTAAAAAGACGTGAGAGAGTAAATAAAGATGTTTATTGAAATAAGCAGCTTTACAAATACTAAAGGCCTATTTAGTTTAACTGATAATTCTTAATTTCGAACTGATGACACTTTAAGATTCTGTAGCATTTGATAGCGTAAGAACAGACTGTTTTATACAACTATACTACCTTATAGATCAAACATAAAAATGATTTTATTAGTTTGTGATCTTTTAAGGTAACAATCAACGATTTGAGCACTTAATGAAAACCAAAACTACCAAAAAATGTCGCATATTATTATTATTACTACTACTACTACTTTAAATCAATGAAAGACCAGAAGTTACAAAATATCTAGAATGTACTCAATATTTTTCTATATTTGTTTCTATAGTGTTAACCATATATGTTTTTAACCAATCGTTTATGAAATAATAACAATGTATCTATTTTTGATTATTTTTACCTCCCAGTTTCATTTATATAGAAAAATCATTCTGTAATTAAGGCAATCAGTGATAAATTGATAAAAAACTATTGATAACATACAAAGTGCATATATATATATATATTTAGATAACTTCCTAATTGTATTGTTACTCTCTCATAATTATTTCAATAAAAGCTACAATTTGTAATAGATACACATTATCTTAATAAGCAAAATATAATCAGTTCATAAATTCCAAATTGAAGTTCATTTAAATTAGGTTGCTAAAAGGGTGACCCTCAGATAATTATTCTCAGAAGGGCTTTTTGTGGAGATTTTAAAAATTTCACTGAGTCAATTGAAGCACTGCTGAGGAGTCCCATACTAAGACGAAGCGGCCGTCCAGTGTTCCCAGGTTTTCCATAGTGGTCTAGCTTCGATTGACTGATGATTTCAACCAGTGAAAGATAATTATTCATCAATATTATCTAATGAGCAAATAACAGTAAACAATATTGTTAGTAATTTTAAAAAAATGTTTTCTGATAATCTTACATGTTTTTCGTGTAGATAACCACCGTAAGATACTGAAAATTTGGCGTATGATGCTTTCAGTAATTTGGGTATATTTCTATAGATAAATAAAATAGATAAAAAAAGAATAATCAATACAAGTGTATGTTATGTATAATGTAAATAATTATTATACTTTAGTTTTTCACTTTAATGATATTATGAACCTACCCAAGCTGGACATTCATTGAAAACGCTATTAAATGATTCGGGATTTTGTATAACTGATCTCTAGAACATTGGTCTAGAGGTTAGGTGTTCGTGCGCAATCCTGAAGGCTTTGAGTTTAATTCTTGTTGAAGTCGTAGACAAAACATTGCTGCAGAATCCTATTCTAGGACAAAACTGATATTCAACTCTTCCTGTTTTTCAATAAATGTTTTAACCAAGATCTGTTCGTAGTATTAATAATACTCAGTAGTCTCCATAATCCTTTATAATGTTAGTTTTTCATATGAACAATTTTAGGAAAAATGAAAATCAGATCTAATGAGTGATTCTTCTTGTTAAAGAAGCGTCAAACGCAAATCTAATGAATTTTCCTTGATAAAAATACTTTCATTACAAATTGTCGATGACAAAACAAATAACATATAGTGAAATTGTGACACTGTTATAAAGTTATACATTTATCAGGTGGGGGGAATCTTCTCACATTATTACATTCTATTTAAGGAGTTTTGTATACAAAACTATTGATAATTTTTGGAGCTGAAAAACAGTTTCGAAGACAGTTTCCAAAAGAATTCTGCATCTTTAGTTTTAAACAGCCTAGTACTAACCACTTAGGGTCACTTGCAATCTTGAGAAGACTAATGTTTCACATGGATTCGAATCAATATCATACACAGACATTGTCTGAGACATGGTCACTGATGTATTCAGCCGGAATAAAGTAGATACATCAGTAAAATACAATCAGTATCATAAATTAAACATACATGATATTGATCACTGCACAATGATCAGTCAGTGTAATCTTTTTAACTGTCACTCATAGTTTCACAAATACTCCAAAAATTTGAGGTAACCGTACATTAAAAACAAAAGTAATTTGCAGTATACAAATTAAGGGTCCTTATCATCGTACAAAAACTGTGTTATGAATAATTTAAATGCTTTCTTCTTTAAAAAGGTTACAAGTCAACATTACAGAATAACATAAGTCTTAGTCAATTACTTACAGACCTCATCAATCTATATAACAGATTGTTTTGCATTTGTATGAATGACAATTATAGTAAACTCAGATTACGAGTGATGAATGTGTTATTCTGATCAAAAATAAAAAAATATTATTTTTCAGATAACTGGTTAGTTATTCTTTTAAGATTTTCGGATGAATAATATTAAGATTCCATAATGTTGTTATTTATCCATAACACATTGAGTTCTACTTGTTTCCAATTAACAGGGAAGAATAAACAAGTGACATTTTGTTGGGGACGACAAATCCCCAAAACTCATATTTTGTAATTTCATCTTATACATTAACCTATCGATTAAATGTTTAAATATTTGACTGGCAGTCAATTGACGAACTTATCGATTAAATATTTGAATGGCTGTCGATTGATAAACTTATTGATTAATGTTTAAAAACATTTTACCATGACAATATCGATTACAAATATTTGTATAAATGCGCTTGACTTGTGTGCCTGATTGACCTGACCTGGTATCTGCTGGTTGCCTGTAGAATACACTTTCTACGCCTTACCAAGACTTCTTGATCGCGTTAGCTGAGTCGGGGACAACGGACCAGAATAGTCTATCCAGTCTGTGAATCCTGATCCTTTGTCACATTCCGAATAAGCCGAATCAGTAGTAGCGTTCAAGCTTTAACGAACCTAACAGTTTTCTTGAAACAAGATATCATTTCATGAAAATATGAAAATTAAAGTTTTTCTTTTTTTCAAGTATAACTTAAAAACAAATTATTTACTTAATTACGCCTGTTACTCCCAATGTAGCATAGGCCATCAGGCCTGGTTGTTAACCCCGCCTGAAGCCTATGTGGGGCTACTGCCGGTCTCAAGCCCGGATGAAGGAGGAGGGTTGAGCATACGGTTAGCGACCCTATCCTATAGAAGAATAACTCGCTAAGAAAACGCCTAAAATCAAATAGTCGCTCGTTAACATGGAAAGGTATGTTCATATATTCGATTGTGTAATTATGTTATCTTAGTTTGTTTTCTTTTTTTCACTAATTAAATGTTTTGTTCAATAACTGGTCTTTCTTCTTCTATAAAAAGAAGAAATGCAAACGATCCGCTTTTATGTCATACTAACGATAAATATTTTCTTTATATCTAAAGCATAAATCATTCACGAATCCAATTATTTTTTCGTTTTTTTGACAATATCTATTATGTAACTTTTAAGGAGAAAGGTTGTTATGTAATGTAATAAACGTAATATGAATGATGTCAAGTATGAGAATAACAGAAAATTCAGTTATTATAAGATGACTACTTAAATGTTATACTTATGTAAATTTTCTTCATATGTTATTACAGTTGTTATACATAAGAATAAGCTATCAAGAATAATACAATTGTATAACAAAAGCAACTGATTTTGTCAAACTATTGAGCACACATCATTTACAAAAGTAAATCCATGAAGTACACATCTCGCTATTTCAGAATCCAACATGCAGAGCTCACATAAGAAATGCTTATTTGATTAGAACAAAAACAACTTCTGGTCAATTACAGTACGTTTGTTCCAGGTTTCTTATTGTTGGAGTTTTTTGAATTATTAGAACTTTTGCAATTATCTTTGTGCAAACCATTTTTTGATCAAATAAATCTTACTGGAATAAATTATTGCTTATTTAGTTTAAAGTATTTAAGCTCAGTTTGAATTTCTTCAAGTTGATTGAGGATAATTTGAGATATAAAGTATTTTGTAGTTCTAGAGGTGATATATGATTGTGCGATTTAGAATAACAATCTTGTTTGCAATTATGTGTGTTAAGGTAAAGTGAGGAATGACCTATACGGCAACTCACTGATTGTTATTTTAGAAGATATCAACACTTTAGTAATCATCTATACTATAAACATTACTTCATAAATACTGAATAATATACCTAAAAGCTTTTGAAAGTAGTTATTTGAATGTAAAACAAATAAATGTCTTTCATTTTAATTCATATATATATATATATATATATATATATATATTAGTTGTTTGGATGTTCTCATTGGTGTTTAGGTTGGTAATTGATCTGTATCTTTTGGTACATGTTTATCCTGTGCAGATTGCCTTTATATTGTTGCTGAGTCAAAAAACTTTTAAGTGTAGATAGCTAGCAGTGGAATCCAGAAAGCGCGTTTCATTTCATTTGGGTTTTGTTAGCTGATTGTAATTTCATTCACTACACGACTCAAACCCATTACTGTTCACTTCAAACGCTGTCGTATTATCCAAACGTCATGGAATCCCCTGCTATCTAACATCCGCTTCTGCTTAAAATGTTTGTAACTTACGGGCAATATCTAGGAAATCCAATCACGATGTACATATCGTAAAGGAGAATGATAAATTTTAATCCTAAACATGAATGGGAAGATCCAGACAAACAATAGCAATGAATTGCTATTAAAATGAACACCATTATGCAAGTTAATGGCTACCTATACTCCGTAGCTAAGTGGATAAAAAGATGGCGTTTAAAACCGAAGGTACTGGGGTCAAGTACCAGAGTGAAAATCAACTCTGCGATACAGGTACATACAAAAGACGAGTCCCAAGCAAGACAGGATGCGCATCTCGGACTCCATTGTTATCCACCATCTATCTCTGCCTGAAACGTCTTAAATGTTTACATGTCAGAATCATTTTATCTGCATAGTTAATTTTTATCATGTGGATAAATCAAACTCCGAAAAATCTACTAGTTCTAGAAACAAACAGCGATTCAAAAATTGTGGGTATATGATTTTTAAAAATCGTGGACTTATCTAAGTTAAATATCCATTGAAAAACTAGAAGCAATGGGCAGCTGCTTTGCTGTAATACGGTGTTCCCTAATAGTATACATTCACTACCTCATCATAGGTGGTCGAACTCAGGACCTTTGGTTTTGCGTACAAACGTTTAACATGTAAATCGTCGTACCGTGATTCAACCGATGTTCTACAAGTTTAACTTTAAACAATCAGCGATTTGTCAATTAAATATTTTATCAGAATGAGTTTTGTGGAGATTTTTAGAAATTTCACAAGTTGAAATCATGAGTCACTAGTAACTGACTTCAGGAGATACTTCTGGAGTTCTGGTGTGAAGCCGTTACCAGTGGAGTTCAACCAGGTCTGTTGTGAAATATCAACTCACTGAAGACAATGGTGTACGGTGGCGCAACTTCGTGGATTGGTTGAAATTAGACATTAACACCGTTGAATGACGGACAGCTCAGTGGTCTAGTTGGTTAAGCGCTGATAGGTCCTGGGTTCGGATCTCATGAGGTGCGGGACCGTTGATGCGCACTGCTGAATAGTCCCATACTAGGACGAAACGGCCGTCCAGTGCTTCCAGGTTTTCCATGATGGTCTAGCTTCAATTGACTCATGATTTCAATCAGTGAAATAATAAGTTGTAAATATTACATATTTCTTTCAATGGAGTTGTCAACAAAAAGTACATTACTGAGTATTTGTTTTATTCTACTCTTGGACTCCTGAACAATTCATACCCCTTTAATTTTCAATGGATTAAATTGAGAATAATCATTTCTGCTAGTGAACATCTACCCATTAAAATTACTGCAATCGGATTTCAGTAGCGCAAACCAAAATTCTATCAATTCGCATTACAGAGCGATATCTATCTGATACCATTGGTGGCAACTGTTTTATCTCTTATAATTCTGAATCTACATCAATGAGGAGTTTTACATTAAGACGAAACGGACGTTTAATGCTCCTTGTTTTCTAGTATCAATTAAACTGAGATTATGCTGTAACAAATAAAACTTACAGGTGGTGTAAATTTCCACAAAACTTCTTTAACTAAACAAATTACGTGAAAAATAAAGAATAGATGGAGTAA